GAGTCAGGGTCAGCAGGTAGGGACAGAGCTCTGTGGCTCAGGTGAGTGGTGATGATGATGAAGATGAACGTGCTGCTATGAAATATATTACTGATTTAAAGGCATAATCTACACCATGATTAAACTGAATTTTATTATATTTTGAACAGTATAAAAAATATGGGCTTATTAAAATTTTCACTTTAATGTGAAAGTGGAAGTGGTAGAAATTGAGGTGGTACCAGGGTAGGAAGGAACCTGTAGACCTATTTTTGCTTTAATAATTACACGGAGATTGATAAAACTGACAAATGTTTTTGTTTTATTTAAAAAAAAAATTGTCACCATAACACAGTGTCATTTTATGTTCTGAAAGCTGCATGATGCCCTGTTCCTTTTGGTTATGAGTAAACCTTTCACTAACTCATAAAAAGTGAAATGCCCCTCTAAATTCACTGTTGGTGGTTATCAGTATTGCACCTGTTCCTTGAGTAAAGCTATTATTAGTTTTAAACATGCAGTTAATGGTCATTTATTGGCACAAAGACATGCTACAATTTAAAATAAATCAAGAATAAACAATATAAAAGTAAAAGACACCCCTAAAGTCACTGGATATGTTAAATTGTGTCACATTAATTAACCTTATCTCAGCTGTAGCAGTGAGTTTAAAAACAAGATGATGGAACTAGTTTAATGAAGAATCTGTCTCTGAAATAATTAAATCAAGTGTTTATTTATGTATGTAATAGTATGTTTAAGAGCCTGGTAAAAAAAATCCAGAATGCAGGAAAAGGCATCAAAAATTTCTCCCCCAGACCCCACACGCCAACCTATGTGTCCCCCCGACTTTTAAAATGGTTTTGACGCCCATGGACATTAACTCCGCCCTTCAAAGCCAGCGTTTACATTAGCATGGCTAATAATAGCAGAAGCTCCGTTGTACAACCATATGAGACCCAGAGGCAGAGTCGGTCGCAGCTTTTTTTAATTTTTTCCTCTCCCTCCTCTGCTCTGCACTCACTCTGCATGCTGTTACCAGAGCAGGAAGCAGCAGCAGTGAAAATACCTCAGAAACTCGAACAAATAGGCTTTAACAAGGCTTTAATAAGCTAAACAATAGAGGTACATGAGAAAACATGTTCATAATGAATGAAAATAAATAAATAATTAAATTGTGTCCGTGCTGGTCTCAAACCCTGGTTTCCTGCTCTTTGGTCCAACACTCTACCCATTGCCCTATTGGAGGCTTGTTGTGAAATGAGCTGCGCATTACACAACAACACCGTGATGGCTCTTCACACTGAGGAGGAGGAGCTTCACCCTGGGGTTGCTAGGTAAGGGGCTGAACGCAGGTTCCTGTGGGTTGTCATACGGCTTGTGACATCACAAAATAACGGAAGTCTAAAACTTGTTGTTAATACACATTAAAAATACATTTACTTACAGTAAATATGCCCCTGGGTGCATTTTTTTTGGTCCTAGGACTGTTTTTTAAAGAAGTACATACCCAAAGTTGGCTAAAAAAACCTTTAAAAAGTGAATTTTGCATAATAGTTCCCCTTTAAACCTGGGTTGCAGCCATTTAGATGGGTTATTAGTAGTTTTATGACCACTTTTTCTGCTACTTTTGATATTACCGGCAATATACTCACTGGTCTATAGTTGCTAACATCCTGACTATTTCCAGATTTAAAAATGGGAGTGACAACCGCTTGTTTCCAATCACTTGGAAAGAAACTGTGTGTAAGGGAGAGATTTATTAGTTGTGTAATAGGGAGGGTTAAAACATCAATATGCTGTTTGACAAAAACTGTGTCCAAATGAAAAACCTCTCTACTTTTTGAATTTCTTGGAGACTGAATTATTTTTTGACTTCCTGTTCAGTAACTGTATTCAAATTAAAGTCCTCTTTTGTAGTTATCAGTTTTTCCTGATCCTTGCCTTTAAAACCCTGTCCCAACTCCTGAACAGACTGAATAAAAAATAATTAAAAGTAGAAGCAATGATGCCCTTATCTTCTACTGCCCTTCCATTGACACTAAGCATAATGTCTGTTGTAGGGTTTTTCCGCTCTTCCTGTCAAGATATTAATACTTTTCCAAATTTCTTCACTATTACATTTAGCGTGATTTATTAATCGGAGATAAAATTGTGATTTTGCTATCCTCAATTCTTTAATCACTTTATTTTTTAGATAGATTTCTTAGTAGGTCAAAACATCTGTGGCTCTTTTGGTTTTTAAAGCCTTCTTTAATGCAGACTCTCTGCTTTTCATTAGTTGTCAGAATTGTTCATTGAACCAGGGAAGGTTGGATTTGTGTTTATCCTTTTTCTGAAAATTTACACTCAACTTCTCTCTAACAGCATTAACCTTATTTGTAAATAACTGACAACTATGTTCCAGATTTTCAGACGATAACACATCATCACACTCTATGGAATCCATTTCATTATTTAACATGTCCTGTTTGCTTTTTGGTATACAGAACTTTTTTGGATGACACAATTTTTGTGTCCTATTTTGAAATCGTTTTTTAGTTAGTTTCCTTGCCAGCAATGCTAGGTTATGATCAGACAGTCCAGTTATCACATTAGGTTTACTGGTGATACAAGATCTAATTGTGTACTTGTACTTTTTGTTTTTCTAGTCGCACTTTTTATCAGTTGTTCCAGATGGTATTTGTCAGGAATGCGCGATATAAACGATATACGGTAGAAACAATATAAATTTGTCCTATGATAGAGATCTGTAGTCTACCGGCCAACCGCGCATTTCTTTTTGATGACTTAATTGGCTGGAGTCAAAACAGAGGAAGCGGGAAGCAGCCTGGCTGAGAGCGCAAATGAAGAAGGGAAAAAAACTTATCCGGACCTGGTTCGGGTGTGTGAAAATGAACGCCGAACTGTTTACAT